AAAAAAAAAAAAAAAAAAAAAAAAAAAAAAAAAAAAAAGCTGGGGTCACTGACAGCTAGTGTCAGACCCCAGAACAATGCCCCCCCCCCCCCAAGGGTCATGGGAGTTTCTCCCCACGCTATGATATCTCCCTTCAGTTGCCCTGGTTTGTGCAATGCAAGTGCCAGAACATCTGCAGGACTGAGAACTTGGCTCCAGAGGTTCACGTGAGTCATCCACCCTGTAAAACCATTGGAGAATGTCCAAGAAGAATGTCTCTGGCTTTCCCAAGGACAAGCGTCCCTCCAGCCTGGCTCACATACCCTTTCTGGATACTCTTTGCTTTACCAGCTGCTCCACTGAGCCAGAAATTTGTCATTCCAGACTGGGAGGCCCATGCCATGCAGTAGTGCAGCCAACCTTGTGCCTTGTGGTACAGGCGGAAGCTGATGAAATGGCCTCCTATCCACAGTCCCACATCTGTGCCCACAGTCATCACCAGCTCGTTATCCCTCTCCTGTGTGGAGTAGGAAAGAACAGTCTGACTGCCAGCGTGTTGGGCTTTTGCCCAGAAACATAAGGTGAAGGCTTGGAGGGACACACCATGGAGGGGATGAACATTCACAAAACTCTCAATAGTTTTCTGCAGGTCAGCTATCCTGAGATTTAATCTATTTACCCACATTAACAAGCTGGTATTCATCATCGTGTGTCCCAGCAGCTGCTCTGGGCTGTGTTCACCTGCTCCCCCCCATCCAGGAATCTGAGTGCATCCAGGAGATTCTACCCTAGGATGTCTCATGGGTCTTACACATCCAACCACACTGATCCAGGGCACAGAACCCTGATTTTTTTTTTCTACCTGTGGCTGATATAGAGGTTGGCTGGCTCGTCCAAATCCATGGAAGCCCATTGCTGGCAGTACATGGTCAGAAATCAGGCAGCAGGTTCTACACAAACATACTGAAGGACTGGTTCACATGGACATAAATTACTTGTGGAACTTGCCAGCTGTGGCCGTGGTGAAGGCCAGAAGTTTGAATAGCTTGAGAAGGATGAGCTAGAGTTCTCTCCATATGCATATATATGTAACTACGAAGAGGCCTTCCCAAGGCCAGACCCTTAGCCATGCATTTTCGAAGTGGTAAAGCCAGCAGCAGTGGCCCAGCAAAACCTGGATCATCTGGCACCTGAGAGAAGCAGCCTCAGAGCCCCCCTGCCCGCCTTCCCACCCTGGTTGTATCACACACTGGTGGGCTTTTATGCCCAGCAATTCCCTTCACTAAAGCACAGGCATTGTCTGCACCCACAGAAAGGTCTGACTCCAGTTCAAGACCCTCATAAGCATCACCTGCAACTATATCACCTGCAGCAAGTTCCAAAAATTTAATTACTCAGAAAAAAAGGGCTGGATTTCAGCAGCTGTGAAGTAGTCATCACCACACATTATGAGATTTGGTAACAAACAGTGGAATTCACCTTTGTATCACCTATCCTTTCATCTATTTGCATGATTTCCTGTTGCCACCCAACCTGGTGCCAACTCCTGTGCTCAGATCCAGTGCTCAGAAGGCACCACCATCACCCCGAACCATCTACCTTTACCCTCAGAAGCTCTTAAAGCAACCCAATTATTGGTTGCTTTAAGAAGGGACTACTGGATTAGTCAAATATTAGGCTGCATTTGTATCCAACAGCCTTTTGCCAAGAAAACTGGGCGTTTTGTTAAAGAACAGCCACGCAGAGGCTGTCCTGAGCTGGAGCCTGAGCCAGGGATTTATGACTTTTAAACAGGGCACCTAGAGCACCCCTTAAAAGAGCCTCTGCTCTCTGCCATGGAAGCGCTGTCAGACTCCACAGCTTCTGCATGATCGAGATCTCCACACTGACTCCCAGCACATCCATTTTGGCAGTGGGAGCAGAAGGGCAGGTTTTCATTTTCCACATAGAGGTCGTACAAGCTGAACTGTTAAACAAGCTCCTCAGGTTCTTCCTTTGAACCTCTTCCCACCCTTGACACATCCCAAGAACTACCATGAATCAAAAAGCCAGCAACAAACCAGCCCCAAACATCTCCTGCAGATTAGCCTTGAGAGAAACCTTCCCACTCGTGAAAAAACAGCTTTGTAAAAAGCATATGGCCTCAAAAGCAGAGGGGAAAACCCTTCAAAACATGAAGCAGGAGTGGAGCCACTCAGGAAATCAGACTGGTTGATCAGAAATGCTGATCGGTCTGTGCAGGGAGCACCAAAGGCCTGAAAGAATGAATCTGCCAAGCCACTGATATAATTTAAAACAGCTGGGATTTTAGAAGGCAAGACAGTAGCCGCATTAAACAAACAAACAAACAAACAAACCGACAAAAAAAACAAACAAGCCAGCTCACAAACAAAATGTGGATAAAAAATTAAAAGATAGGCACCCCAGTGGGTCCAGAAACAGCCAGGTTTGCATCTCAGTGACCACCAGCACAAGCATCTCTGAGTTTCAAGGCTCAGCGTTGCAGGACAGACCCACCCAATCTGGAGCTGTCAGCCTCATGGCAGAGCTTTTGTTTCCCATTACAGGTCTGTTACAGGAGCAGCTCAGGAGGGTGCAGGTTTGGTTTGAGCAG